GAGAGCAAAGTGACATTTCATTTGGAGGGGAAGCTGCTGGAAAAATGGTTGCCAACAGCAATTTGCCAACAGGAAAACAGCTGATCAAAAACAGCTGTTTGGAATTTACGTAAATCACAAAATTGAATTTGATGGTTTGGAAGTTAAGAATGACAAAATTCGACTAATTAAACTTGTAAGATGTAGTTATTTGTTATTGATTAAACCATGTCAGGATAACACTTTGTGATGAGTTTTCGTACATTTTAAATTTTACACTTTTGAATGTGAAGAAAAATTATATCAGCTGTTCTTCTAACTTGCAAGTTTCTGCAAATTTCCTGTTCGCGTACTGTTTTGGATAGTTTTGTCTTGTGAGAGAACTGGTGACATTTCGCCGGAATTTTGCTGTTGGACGTTTTAAACGCACGCCGCCAATTTACTGTCAAAAATTTCTCATCCACATACAACTTGTATGGGACCAATTGAACGGCGTGCGTATGAATTTCCAATTTTTCTTCTGCGTGACATTTTGATTTGACATTTCGCTCGATGAAATCAGATGCAAACTCACGCAAGCCGATTTCCGATGACGCAAGAAAAAAAATTTGACGGCTTTATTACTTTACTTTACTTTTGACTTTATTAAAAGATTTCGTATTATTTTGGTTTTGTTGGATTTTTGGTGCCCCTTTTTGGACTTAAAAAACTTGCCTCCCATTGAATATAATCGAGAAAAAATAAAACAAGTACCTTCATCCTTTTCGAAACGATGCATTTTTTATATACCTTGCTTAATATATCAAAATATGAGTTTTCATAAAAACTGGACTTAGCCACTTTTCACTCTAAGCTAGCGATATGTATATGTACGTACATAAGTATATTAGAATTAAAAATAGGCAACAATTAAAATAGCGTGTCATAATTTGTCGCGGCTAACCAGCTTGGTGACTTTCGTCAGTTGACATGATACTATTCAAGATCATTGCCATATAAAACAGCAAAAATAAATAAAATAGCAGCAATATTAACTAACAACTCTTATATGCACAACTGAAAGTGAGCTGAACAAAAAAAAAATACAACAATAATGTTCTAAAAAAAAAGTATTTATAAACTTGTTTACTATTGTAATCTACATATGTACGTACGTGCATCTATACGAATTTACAGTGACGAGCAAAACTGTAACATGATGTTATTTCAGCCACCGCTATCTTTCATAGTTCTAACGACTTTCATATGTTGTTGTATATTCTTATTGGTACACTCCTACTCCCGCTCTCATAACGATTTGAGGTCAATCCAACAACAATAAAAAAACCTGGAGACAAAAATGTAAGTTAAGGCAAATGTTACAGTTTTGCACTCACTCTCAGTTTTGCATTTTACAGTTATCTTTTGCTTAGTTGGAAGTCAGATGACTTTTCTGTATTGTAATTTATTCAAGAAGTGATCACCAATAAATAATATGGTGAATCAGGAAACATAAATGTAAATAATAGATTTACTGCGAAAAGGCGGGACCGCAGGGAAAGTGGCAAAAAATTGTGGAGTTTGCCACATGAAAATGTTAAGACTGAGAAAAAATATAGCCTAAAGTGTTACTAAGGACAAAGGAAGTCTGTCAAAATATATTACAGTCCGATCTTGTGAACTTAGTAGCAAGTAGCGCTGCAGGCACTACTACAGAAGCGCTTAAGGTATTAAAATTTAATGCAAATCAGTAGATAATGAGGCGAAAAATTGCTAAATTGAGCAAAATGGATCATAAAAGAAGAAAAAAGCAAATTTGATCAAAATACATGTGCGAGTGTGGCAGCGTTTTGCTGCATCGCACGAACACCGGACCGTTGCCTATTGGGATATGTTAGGCCTTACAGAATGCAATAAAAAACACATTTTTAAGATTTAATTGAGGGTTATTTGGTCTGACAAGACTAAATTAATCGCTTTCAATCAGATGGCCGGGCATAGTATTGGATCAAAGGCCCAAATTAAGCCTAAGCGCATCATGTAAGGCAAACTGTGAATCACGGTGGTCGGTCAATATTAGTTTGGGGTTGTATTTCAAAAATGTTGTTGATCCGTTTGTACGCATAATGCGTAAGGAACAGTATCTGTTCATATTTCAACAAAATTTGCAAGATGTAGTCGAAAAAATTAGAGTTTCTGCTGAAAAATCAACCAAAACACACTGCACATGTTCGCAAAGACTGGAACAAAAGCAGAAATTGGCTAATTTGAAATGACCTCCACAATCCGAGGACATGTATCTCATCGAGAATTTGCGAAATCAACTAAAATCGCATCTTACTAAGTATCCAAGTCCGTCCAATGGAGTACATGAGCTGTGAAAGCACACCAAGGATATATGGGAGGCTATACCTCCAGAATTTTTACAGACATACACATTAGGTATGCCAAATTGCAACCAGGAACTAAATAAAGCAGAAGCATACTGAACATTGTGTTAATAGTTCTTTTTTTTGTGAAAATTGTCAAAAAGTTATTAAAAATTTATGAGTGCAAAACTGTAACATTTGCCTTAATTTACATTTTTGTCTGCTGGTTTTGTTAATGTTGTTGAATTGACCTCAAATCGTTATGACAGAGGAAGCAAAGATGTACCAATAAAAATATACATCAACAGTATGAATGTCGTTAGAACTTGGAAAGATAGCGACAGCTGAAATAAAAAGTGTTACTCCATGTTACAGTTTTGCTCGTCACTGTATGTACTACCAAGTAATTGTAACAACTAAATATTGCGGTTGTTTAGCTTTTAAAGCTTATACAAATAAATAAAAGTAAACAAGCGTAAAAAAGGCAAACTTGTGTACTTTCATTGCATAAAAAAAAATTAATGAATGAATTAAACAAATTCATATATTTTCGCTGACGGTTATGTTCGGAAATACAGTTCGCCAGTTGATT